ACAAGCGGAGACGCTGTCTGGGGCCTCTGGCAACCCTCATGGATGGAAAGTAGCATAGGCCTTCAGGATTTTGGAAGAAAGCGTTGTCGTCCTATGTGGATACTTTTCAGGAAGCCTAACCTTGGACCTTGGTAAAAGCTGCAGCGTTCCTGAGCTGAGTTATGCCACCCGAGCTCCCATCATGACCTGGGTGCTGTCTGACCCACTAACCCACGAAGGAGGGCACGCGCCGCAACATGATGTCATCCCATGGAGGTGGAATGGGTGTGCCCACATCTGCGCAGGTCCTGGAGGCAGAAGCAAGCTCCACGAAGTGGGCCAAGCGCCTGCGGCCCCCTCCTGCTGTGCAAACCTCCTCTGTCTGGCCCACTCCTGTGGCCTCATGGGGAGCCCTCTGCAAGCTAAGGAAGAGGCTGCCAAGCGTGGCTGATGAGAGGGCCCGCGCCGCAAGAAGGTGCCACCTGAAGGTGGAGCCCTGCAGCACTGCTGCCGTCTCTGGGATGTCCCGGAAGGACAGCAGAGGAGGGAACTAGGCAGCCCCTCGGGGCTCGCGCTTCCTGGCTGTGCTCTTTTCTGCGCAGGAGGACCGGCCCGATGCGTGATTACATGCGTGGCAGTTGTTTGAGTGAGGCATTGCTAGGGAGCATGACTGGAAGAAACGGCGACAATGTTGGGTAAGAAGAATGTGGACAGACGTCTCTGAATGCAGAAAGGATGGAAAGATTTGTGTCCTGTCTGAATGCTCACAGAAAGCTGACCCCTGCAGAGGAGGACTTTAGGCCCGGTGGGTAGTGTTTTCCTGTTGTATAGACGCTAATCAGCTTCCCCTCCTAGCCACCTCTCACGGCCCAGTGGAGTTGTGAACAAAGTGACCGTGGAGACAAGGACGGACGCTATTTATTCCACAGGGAGTGTTCCACTGGGATTCATAAGAATCAGTCTGTTGAACTTGAAGGTGCCACCTACCACTTTGGGCCCCCTGTGACGTCGGAAACAAGAACCAAGGTGGGGGGAGTTGGGGTGTTGGCTGTGGTGATTTATCCTATTGGGGGGATGTTGGCTATAATTCCAAAGTAGAAAGAAGAAAATAGCCCCTTTCCACAACCCTTAGTACACATTGTCATGCTCTTTGGCTAAAGCCAATGAAACATCGGACCTGGGCAGGACCACTAATGTCCTCGGCCCTTCAGGAATGGAGATTTGGGTCGGGACCAGGCCCAGAGCCACAACCAGTGAATGAGCAGGGCAAGGGAATACAGAACGGTAGTGGAAGAAGGCAGTCATAAACCCCAGTGACCACCTGGAAAAATGAGGGCTGCAGCGTTCAGGTTTTATTCTTATTTTGTTGTTCATGTTTTTGTAGCTTTATGCGTGATCTTATATATGTTTATATTCCATATATGGGAGCATAAATGTATAAACTGTATCAAATCCTTTATGCATGTTTTGTTCTCTTACCTTTTATGAAAAATGGTAAGAAAGCCCCTCAAATAATTCAAAATTGAATTACTTAATACTCCAACAATCCCATTTCTGAGTATAAACCCAAGAGACTTGAAAGCTATTTAAACACGGATGCTTAGAGCAGCAAAATTCACAGTAGCCTGAAGGT